AGTTTGATAGAAGTATTTTAGGTTTGTTAGGTGGGATTAGAGTGCTGTTGAGTGTGAGACCCCTGGGCCTCTCCATTCTCCGGTACCGGCTCTGAGTGCTACAGCACATGCCCTTGAGGGACGAAGCTCTCAGGCTGGTGGTGGGAACACAGCTGCTCTCGGCTCTGTGAGTGTGAGGCGCTGTTCCCTGGTCATTTGGGATGGCTTCTTCTTCAGTCCTGTTACTTCACACATGAGTGCTGATACTACATTGCTGAAGTTCAAACAGAAACTTTGAAAAACTCTGCACTCCTTTTTCTGTGTTGCTTCCTCTTTTGGGTGCTCTCCCCTGTGAAGTCTGATCGCTGAGTTCCCTGGACTCTCCCTGTTCTTGGTTGAAAAATTCCCAAGCTTAGCACAGGGAAGGAATCTGGGGCACTCCATCCAGGTTCCATCTCTCTTGGTTGGGGCTAGGTCGCTTTGTTGCAGAATCTGTACCAAACCGGATGGAAAATGCACTGCACCAAGGAATTTGGAAGGCAACTTCTGTTTACACTGGCATACTGGTTGGAACTAGGTCCAGATCACCAGCACTGGCTTAGAGTAGAATAGCAATTTATATACGTTTTGTATGCACAAAGTACAGTTGATAACGGGTTAGTCTATAATTGGTTACATATATTTGGTCACACCTTGTCAGGCAGGTGTGTCCAGGGTAGATTTAATTAGGGAGAGTTACTCCTCATGAGGCGGGAAGGTGTTGGGGGAGTCAGGCTCTGGGCAAGTGGGTAAGATTTAGTGTGTCCATGGCAGGGCTAGCAAAACAGGATCCGTGTGCAAGCCATTGTGCAGCTGGTCAGATGGAGCTGAGTCAGATTCTTTCTTGAGTTGCAGCTGTGTAGTTAGTCAAGGCCGGCTGAGTCTGATGGCCCAATTATGAAGCTATAGTTGTAGAATTTTCTATAGTTTTAAAATTTTCTGCTGTAGCTTTCTTAAATGTATGGCAAGCTGGGGCAACTGGAGTACTACCTTGCTTGTTTCTGTCTCTTATGGATGTCTGTTTTTCATTGCTTAATCAGTTCTTCTAGTTTGACCATTTTGAGAAAAGTTATTTCTCAGATGAGAAGGTATTTCTCCTGTTTTGCTAGCCCTGTCATGGAACACACTATTATTGCATTAGTTCCTGTCATTTTGTCTTGTCAGGAAGTACAAATTCTAGTTGCCTTCTCTTTTTCTGATTATAATTAACAAATACTAATTGTCCAAATGAACAGATGGGATTCACTGTGATGTTTCCATACGTGGGTACATAGCACCCTCATTGTGTTCATCCACTCATTTTCTGTCCTCCCTCCTCACCTTCCCCTCTACGCCCTCCCGACTTCTTCCTAATTCCTAATAGCTCCTTATCTGTTTTTAGGTTATTATTATTTTTTTAAAGTTTCTGTGTATGTGAGAAAACATGTTACCTGTCTTTCTGTGTCTGGCTTATTTTGGTTAACATAATGCTGTTTCTGTCCACTTTCCTGGAATGACAATATTTCGTTCTTTATGGCTGAATTGTATGCCATTGTGTATATATTTCATATTTTCTTTATCCATTTATCTGTTCACAGACACAGAGGCTTATTCCATTTCTTAGCTCTTGTGAACAGAAGATAACTTGATTTCTTCCTTTCCTGGTTGTATATCTTTTTTTTCTTTTCTCTTGCTTAATTTCTCTGTTAAAAGCTCTAGTACTACATTGATGAAAAGCAGTAAGAGTGCACCATTGTCTTGATTTGCTTTTAGAAGAAATACTTTCAGTGTTTTCACCTTTGAGTGATGATAATGACTGTTTGGAATGATGTTGGAGATCGGGGTGTTGAAGTAATGCACTATTACTGCATTGGGCCCACCTCTCCATTTAGGTGTAGTGGTATTCGTTTTATAAAATTAGATGCTCCAACCTTCTGTGCTTATAGATTTATAATTATCATATCTTAATCATCACAGTTTATTGACCTCTCCAATGAAGATGAATTCTGATGTATGAAAGAAACTCTTGCAGCTTCTTAGTTCCGTTAATTTTCTTAAAAAGATCTGCTTAGAGAAATTTCTTATACATGGGGAAATTGTAGATAAATTTTATTTGATATCATGATTTAGAGAAAATTTCTTCCAGTAGTTACAGGATCACTACTTTATAGTCTCTTATCTGGCTATATTGACAATCTATTTCAGGTTGGTTTTACTCAAATTTAAAGTCAGCATAAAGTTTTCTCTGCCTAGTGTTCTTTACTCAGTGTTGTTATCAGCTGTAAAGTGACATTTACTTCTATGTGAATTCATAATTCATTAATGTAGAAAGATTTTAAATACTTAGTTGTGAACATTCCATGGGTCATCAAAGCGCAAACCTTGGAGGTTTCAAGCCCATGCAGTCTTCCTCTTGAATAATCTTGTACTTCTCCTGTATAGAAAAAGGGCTGCATAGTGTGGCCTTGTTTTCAAGAGTGAGATAACCCTGACTGGTCCTGAGCACTTTTCCTTGAAGGGTTGCTGTGTTAGTCTGCCTCTTGCACATCAGACAGGAAGCTTTTCTAGGAAGCAGGCCCTTGGGACTCCTGTGTATGAGGAGTCAGTGCCTCTGGGAATTCCTAGGGTAGCACTCTTAACTTTCACTTTGCATCCTGAGGAATCAATTGTCGGTATCTCTCAGAGGGAGATCTTTTTGATTTGCAAATCACTGTGATGGGTCAAAACCCAACAAGAGGCAGAGGCAAGGCCCTTAGTAGCTGCAAAACTATAAGAGCCTTAGGTTTCTGGATGAGAACCTGGTCTTGTGCTCAAACACTGGAGAAGTCGTGCAGCAGCAGCCTTTTGTGCTGGGTGCATAATCATCACCTGAGAAGGATGCTTGGGTGACCTCTGCCAGGGTAGGAGGAGCTCCCTGGTTGGTAGACCTTGCAGCCCACCTCCCTGCCCTTAGGCCCTCGAGGAGAACCAAGGAGTCAGGGAGAAGAACTGTGCTGGCTGTGCGTCAGGTGAGGTGGGGGCTGTGGTATGCTGAGTCCAGCCCACAAAGGGAGATGTTTCTGATTTCATAATTTCCTTTCTCCATAAGGTGCTTACATTATTTATTTTCCATATCATTGAATTTTTATGCAACTGTAGGGATGTTACTAAGTTTCCATATCCGTAAAACAGGATGATTCTGTAAACCAGACTTGTAAACATTAAAGTAGAATGCATGTATATAAAGCACCTAGAATGGTGCCTGCCATTTATAAGTCTTGCTGAGGCATAGCTGTCTATTCATTTTGATTTCTGTAAATGTAAGTTTCATGTAGAAGATCCATTTAGTTCTATTTAAATTTGAGTGATTTTCAAGACGTCCTTATCCATCCTAATTCTGATAAGTTTATAGTCTTGTATTTATTGCATGGCTATAAAAGTATGATGTTTATTACTGATGATTTCATTCATGTAATGGAAATTCAGCAATAGTTCTATAATGTTTATTTACGTTTAATTCACCACTGCCAACATTTCACATTGTTTTTAGAAAGCTGTAGGTAAACTTATGTAATATTTTAAAATGGACATACTTTGTTTTTATTGTATGAATATTATTATAAATAAAAGTTTACAGGGGCTGGGGATTTAGCTCAGTGGCAAAAGCGCCCGCCTGGCAAGCGCAAGGTCGTGAGTTCGGTTCCCAATACCGGAGAAAAACCAAAAAAAAAAAAAAAAAAAAAAGTTTACATGTTTGCATTATTTGTGGCAAGCTGAAGTGTAATTAATAAGAACTTTTCTTACTGGACATTTGTTGATCACTTACTTTGGCCTAGTTGTGGGTTACTATTTCAGGTTTTCCTATGAACCAAATCCCTCTTGAACCTTTTAATCTGTTATTCCTTTTTACTTTTTGTTACATCTATTTGTGCTGCCTCTTGTCTACCATTAATGTGTCAACTTCTACTTTACTGCCTTGTTTTTGGTTTTAATTTCTTGAGTATATTTTTCATACACTGTAAATTTATCTGTGGAAGAGATATGTTTGTTTTCTAATTTTATACCCATGAAGAAATTGCTACTGTGGGTATCTAGTAGGCATTCAACAAATGCTTGATGGTGAGTGAAATGCTTAGTTAAGTTTGATAATATACATATTTTAATGCAAATTAATTATGGTTACTGACATCTTTTAAGAGTTCTATAGTATGTAGCCTTATATTTTGAAAGTTTTTGAAAAAGTGCCAATTTTTATAGCAATTCATTTTTAAGAAACTCCTCTATTTGTTTTCCATAGTGGTATTATATATCCTTGAAGCTTATGAATGGCACCTGATTTCCCTGTGTGTAGCTGAGTGTTTATGTCCAAACAGATATATGTATATTTGTCTTCAGTCTATAGGGCTCTTCCCTTGTCCTTTGAGGAGCAGTAAGAGTTTTGTAGGTAACAGTTATGCTTGTTATTTATCCTCTTTGGTGTTTCGTAGCTAAAGGATGTTAAGGGCTCTTTCTTCTCCCCAAACTTGCAAGTTCCAGAATGTTTTATAGTAGGTACTGCCTTATGTATAAGGATTATAGCTTGATAGAACAGAAATACTGGAGTGCCAGAAAGTTAAATATCTGTGGAATTTTGTAGTTACGAAATTAACTGTGGTAAAGCTTGTATTTAATTCCTTTGCCTTTCATTCTTAATAGTGTGGTTCCTTTGTGAACTCTTTCAGGGTCAAATCCAAGTACAATAATTGGTAGCATTCATTTAACTTTTGACATAAAGACTTGTTAGACAATGTTAATTTTCTTTTCTGTCTTAACATTTTTTGACACTGTATCAATTTTCTTTCTGATTTTAAGCTAAAAGGAGAAATGCCTGTAGAGAAATACATATATAATTGATGCTTTAATAACAGTAAATCTTGGAATAGATAATAGATTAATTACTTATCTGACAAGATTGTATGAATTTACAATTGTAGATTAATTTTACTAGTTTTGTTGTTGTTTGTGTTTTCTTGTTGTGTTGACAGGGTTGCTTTAGACACTCTTGCTGCATTGCTAAAATCAAGTAAGTTTTTAAATACTAGAAATACTAGATTCTTTTTTCTGAACATTCTGTTTACTTTGTTAAAGAAACCAGAAATACAATTTAGTTTATAGTTTTAAAGCTGGTTTATAATATTCTACTGTTGAAATTAATTTTAGTTTCTAGTGCAATTGCTATCCATCATAACTAATACCATATGCTTATTGAGCTATACTTTATCTAGTACATTTGTATGAGTTTTTCAAGCCCATTTACTTCCTATTTTTAAGCTATTTAAAGAAACAAAGTCCTGCTAATAAAGGAAAATAAATCTGTATCAGTTTCGAAAAAATGGACCTAACATGAGATTGAAAACTTTTAATAGGAGAAATATTTTGAACAATCACTATCTCTGTATATAACATGTGCTTTTAACTTAGAAGCTCTTACTAGAATTTTTTTCTACCATAAGTTCTAATTTATAACATTTTAAACAGTGACTGTTAACGTAAATTTACAGGCTTGAATTCATTTATAAAACTTTTTATCTTCAGAACTGATGCATTGGAGTCTTATGACGCTTTTGGAGAAAGTCATATGTTTATGGTCTTTTTCTGTCCAATACTGAGTATCTCTATTTTAAACATTGGTTTTCGTCAGTAGTCTCCAGGATGATTGGTTAATAAGTAAGTTAGTATTTTAGTCTTAATAGTTAGTCTCAAACATCTCTGTTGATGGCTTTCATATGTCTCATCTTCTCAAGGTACAGTTACCAGGCAGTTGATAAGCTTTCAAGGGTGAGACTAATTGCCCTTAAGTTTGAATTGCTGGAATTGGTTTTATAAATAGTAGCAAATGATTAATTGATTGAAAATCTGTTACTTGGTAAAGATTTAATAAGTATTAAAGATCCCCTAGGTATTAGTATTGTACCACAGAGTTCTTACGGTACTTAATTAGGTTGTCTGTGTAGTTTTCTTTTCATATGTGATGTGATAAACTTTAGACCAAAGTCACATTAACTTCAAACAGTATTTGTATCTTTGCTTTGATATGCTTTGACTTTGTAATTTAAACTATTTAAATATTTATTCTTAAATTAATAAAGGCATATATTTTTGGAGTGGATCACAGTAGCTTTAAATTTTTTTGAAGCTTATTAATTTTCGGAATCATTAATGACAGATTAATTGTAAGTTGGTAAAAACTAAAACTCTCAGAAGTTTGAAGTATTTTATAGAAATCAATTAACCTAAGATGACTGAAATTTTGTATCTTCAATTTTAAGTAATAGTTTTCCTTTCACTCCATTCTTCTTACAAAGGGGGGTGGTGGCTAAATATACCTGTAACCTCCATCAGAATAAAAAAAGGTAACTGAGAAGTAGCTTAATATATTTTCAGATGACACATGGGACTGAATAGGATGAAGTTTAATATGCAAAATAATTTTTAGTAGCACATTGCATATTTTTAAATGGACTATAGCATTTTGGAACATTCCTTATTTATTTATGTTTTTAAAGATTCCTTGTTTTCTTGAGGGGGCATTCATTTAAAGGTTAAATTTGACTACTAACATAAATATTGGAAAATATAAGGTAAAGAACATAAAGAATGTAAACATGGGCAACTGAAGTGCTGTTGCTGATGTGTATATTAGACTTAGCCTAAAGGTAAACTTAAATTTTCTTTGAAGTAGAGAAGGAAGAAGAGGGGACATGCTCATGGGGAGTCTTGCGCCCTGAACACATTATCTGTTAGATACTGTTTAGTGCAGATCATCAATGGATCTGTTCATTTTCTTTAAGAGTCACCTTAGCATCTATGTTTGAATTGTAACAGAGTTTCTTATTTGACCTTTCATACACAAGTTTAATATTTCTCATAAATACTGTTTAGGCTATTGGGAATTCTGGCAGAAACACAAAATTTTTAACAGTTGCAATGATCATAATGGCTTTTAACAAAATTATATTCTCAGCTAGTAAACTAAAGGCCTACATATTTTGAATGGTGTAAACAGCTTTGTTTACATAAAACTTTTGTTGCTCAAAACAATTGAACTAATTTTACAAATAGTTTGTAGCCTTACAATAGTTCATAGCAAGCAGGTGATACTAGATATAATAGAGGTTTGAGAGCTTTCACATAAGAACACTTTCTTTCCCTAGTGAGTTGCTTCTACCTGTCTAATGTCAGAATGAGGTTAGGGAAGGGAACTAGTAAATCCATCTCAGTGTTATGTTTTAGGTATAAGTGAATTTGGAAACTATAATAATTGTCTCAGGCATCTGAAGTCATTGTCATCTTAGTACCCATGCCATGAACTAGGGGTCATTTTATAGATACATTTGACATTAAGAAGAGATTTAATACTTCTTTCTAACTACACACCCTCAGATGGGTTGGTACTCTAACCCATTATCTTGTAGTACTTATAGTGGACTCACTAAAGTAGCACTAGGTGCCTTAGTGTATTGATGTGATATGATTTCCTTGCTGCTATGTTAGTACAAATACAGTATTGTTTTGGTAAATAATCTTAAATATTGATACTTTAAAAACAGTAAAATTAGGTTAAATTTGTACTCCAATAAAATAGACCTTTTATACAAAACCTTTAATACATTTTTCATTATGTCAAAAATTTAATACCCAGAAAGAACTATTTTCTAATGATGTAATGCTCTTTATATTTCATTTATTAAAAAATTGTTTATTTTTAAATTAGTATTGTTATGGTATGGACTTTATATAATTGTGAGATTATTTGAGCAATTAGCTTCAATGGACACAGTTTGTTATGGGAGCTACAGCTCAATGAGGTCAAGCTTGTAAATTCATTTTGATATAATGTCAGTATGCTCATAACTTTTAAAATACATGAAGCTTTTATTAATACAATATTTAAAAATATGACCCAACTTTACTAAGATATTTTGACTTTTATAAATTATAAAATTGTAAATATTTATAAAGTATTTATGCAGGCAGGAAAATCCTGGAAAATGTTGTAAGCTTTTATTGTCATTTACTTTGTTAGAAAAACATTTAAATAGGTAGTTGCCCTTTTTTTGAGGGGGGATATAGGAATGATAAGAATTCAGCCACATGTGGTGGGCACATGTCTATAATTCCAGCACTTGGAAGGCTGAGGCAGGAGGATTGCAAGTTTGAGGTAAGCCTGAGCTATATAGCAAGACCAAGGCTGTACATAGCAAGACCCTGTCTCAAAACAAAAAACTAGGATAAAGAATTGTGAAAGTTCATTAGAATACTGATGTTATATTTTTAAATAAATTTATGCTACCCCTTTCTCTTTGTCATTTAAAGTGTATTCTTTCTCAATTTTCTTTTGTTAAAGAAACAAATGCCAGGAGAGCTGTAGACAGAGGATATGTCCAAGTGCTTTTAACAATTTATATAGATTGGCACCGCCATGATAATCGACATAGAAACATGCTTATTCGGAAAGGAATTTTGCAGAGCTTAAAAAGTGTTACAAACATCAAGTTGGGAAGAAAAGCATTTATCAATGCCAATGGGATGAAGATTCTGTATAACACTTCACAGGTGAGTTGTTTTCTTCCTGTTACCCTACTTAATGTTCTAATGATAATGCGGTTTTTTTTTTTTTGTTTTTGTCTTTTTGAGACAGGGTCTCTCTATGCAGTTCAGACTGGCCTTGAGCTCACTTTTGTAGCCCAGGCTGGTCTTGAACTCACAACGATCCTCCTCCCTCAGCCTCCCGAGTGCTGGGGTTACAAGTGGGCCACCACGCCCAGCGATAATGTGTTTTACGAAAACTGAATAATCAGAAAAGAATACATATTATATATTTTTAAAAAACTTAAATCCAGAAGGTACGGTCATTCTCATGTGTTACCTCAAACTGGACTGGGCAAGTGATCAGTGCATGTCTTTAGTGTGAAGTCTCTCCTAGGTTAAAGGGTGTATAAAAGTGTCTGCTGGACAGAGCAGGGTTCTGTGTAGCTGTGATTTTGAGGGTATGTAGTTGGCTGCACTTAGTTTTGCGTGCTGCTCTCCCAGTGTATCTGTGCCTCCTCCCTTGCAGCTGGTAGGGTATTTCTGTTGTGTGTGCGTGCTCTGTGTGTCTTCCTTCTGGTGGAGCATTTCCCAAATTGGGAAGGTACAGAAGGGGAACTGGTACATAGAAATGCTAGTTCTGCTGACAGCACGTTCAGTGAGATCTTTTCTAGCATCTGTAGAAGACAGACAGGTGTGGGAGATGGGTATATTTGCAGTGCAGCCCTCTTATTTTTAGAAGGCTGTAATTATTAGAAAACAAATCTGACGTTTTGAAAATACCAGCCAGGTACCTTGGCTGTGCCTTCTTGGTTTTACACATGAACAATTTCTTTTTATAGAACAATAGTTAAGATATTGGAATATGATTGTTTACCTTTAGTATTTTCTTTTCTAGAGCAATGATATGTACTTGGTTTTATTATCCCTAGTACAGGCAGTGATGAATATTGGATATAAGAGATCTTGTCTGTATTGACTTGACAGATGTGAAAATGGATACTGAAAATTTTATAGTGTATCAAAGTGCCACCTAAATCTCAGTCACTAATAAGAATAATAATGTGATGTACTTTCAAATTCCTCTATGCTCTAACCCTTCTGAAAATTAGATACTAGGGCAGCAAATCAAATTGTTTGAACCTTAAATTGGATATTCAGTCTATGTTAGGGTGAAAAGCCAACTTATGAAATGTGCTATTGTGTGATAACTGATAGCGTTCTGAGAAAGGCTTAGTAAAATGCACATTCCTTTTCATTTCTTTTATCTTTCTTACTTTCTTGATACCTTTTCACCCTTATTCCCAATAAACTTTTAAAAAATATCATGCCCTAGACTTGCTAAATGTCCTTAGGTCATTCAAATATAGCAGTGGTGCCGACCTATGGCATATGTGCTGCAGCTGGCTGTTACCATTGAAAGCTCTAAAAGATCATCATCAGTGTTACACAGTATTCCAGTGGTTTTTGGTGTCAAAGGTAGTACTGATTTCTGCATAGTTAAAATACTTAGGGAAAATTTTCCACATGAAGTGATTATTTACAGTGCATACTTAAAATTATTTTAAAATTATCCTATATTAAATATTGTTTTTTATTTTGTCTCTAGAAAATTAATGTATTAATTTCTGAGATAATATAAAATTAGTTTATCTGTTTACCAAAGGCATATTCTCTTTTTCTTTTTTTCTTTTAAAAAACAGGAGTGTTTGGCAGTCCGGACTCTTGATCCTCTTGTGAATACCTCCAGTCTGATAATGAGGAAGTGCTTTCCCAAAAATCGCCTGCCACTTCCAACAATTAAAAGTTCTTTCCATTTCCAGTTACCAGTCATGCCTGTGAGTGGACCTGTAGCCCAGCTTTACAGTTTACCCCCTGAAGGTAGGAGCCCAGGTTCTTGCTGGCTTTCATTGATTCCTGAGATTTTGTGACTGTGGGCCTTTCTTTTCTTTTTAAACTCATGTCCAGCTACTAGCACAAAAAGGTCTTACTTATTAACGAGATAAACTTTTACATTTTATTTTAGCTAAAAAATATTTCTTTAAATATGAGAAAGAAAATCTAGTAATTAAAGGGAAATAGCATAGGGTGTGTTGTATGTATGAAAATGTGAATTGTGAAAAATTTTAAGCATTACATAGGAATATAAGTTGATAATTTATATAAATTTTGAAAGTATAAGATAGTGGCACTAAGTGTGTAGGTAATGATGTTAGGCTTTACATTTGTAGCTTTTTAGTGAGCTTCTTTCTTAATTTTAAAAATATTTAATCAACAAAACTATTATGGTTTATACTTAACAAAAACTTACTGGTAGCTTACTAGGAGGAATTTGTGAAATTATCAGGTACAGGCTGTCATTTTCTGTATAATACGGTAGGTAGGTAATAAAGTAATGTAAACTTCTTTTTTTTTTTTTTTTTTTTTTTCTCCGGTACCGGGAACTCACGACCTTGCGCTTGCCAGGCAGGCGCTTTGCCGCTGAGCTAAATCCCCAGCCCCTAGTAATGTAAACTTCTTAATGTGAGAAAAATAAGTTTTGATAAATATGTCTTAAAATTGTGTTGACTATAAAGTTTATGATATTTTTGCAAAGAGTTAAAAGTCTTTTATTTATATAAAATACATGAAGTATGTGCTCTAAAAGAAGTATTTATAATTAGTATTACTATCCATGATGTAGATTTGTTAATGGAATATGTCAATAGGATGTGGCATTATTATTATATTTTTAAAGTATTTAGTTATTAAAGCACAAGTTTAGTTGACACAGAATAGATAAGTGAAAGGAATTAATTCCATTTTTCTATTCTATTTGAAATTATAAACAGATTTTGAAAATAGAGGAAAATCTGTCCCAAATATGAAAATTAGGTCAGAGGGCATCTTTTGAAATAAACATAGAATATAGAATAAATGTGATAGAGAAATGAGTACATTAAGGAAAGTGTTAAGTCCGTATCCTCTCCCACAGTGTAATCTGGGTCTCCAAATTGAGATGCTACAGTACCTCGTTTGCCAGGACAGTCAGGGTGGTTGAAATCTCATTTTCTTCTATGTCTCCACATAGGGCTTTGGGAGTGCAAATTATAAGTGTTTAAATGGTGGTTCTAACTGGTAGAAAGCCAATGTGGCCTTCCTATGATGCACAAGTAGTTACACCAGGAAGGAGGCAGGAAATAGCCCATAGTGTTTATTTAGTGTGCAGAATAATGAATAGAGAAAGCTGACCAATAGTGCAGTGAATTCACTAAATGAGGGAAAAAATGGGAGAGGCACTATTTCCATTGGGTCTTTTTATGTGTGGTTCTCGGACTTGATGAATCAGTCAACTGGAAATGTAGATTTATATTTTCTAATAAGCCTCTATAATTAGGTCATGAGAGGAAGATTCTAATAATTGTATAGGCACAAAGAAAATACCTTCATTCTATTTTCAGTTGTTTTCTCACATATCAGACTACATTACCTGTATCAAAGTCTTTATTATTTTTGTATGCTCCAGTAGAACTGGCCTGAGTTGTTTCTGTTAACACTTCTAACTCCAAATATGTAGGTTGGTTTTCCCTCACACCAATGCACTCTCCACTTCTCTGGACACCAGATGGGTGTTGTACAATTCAGTTCAATCCCAGCACTAGCGTAGACCTCATAGGTTTAGGTCATCATCCCATAAGGCTGCTCTCACTTTGGTACCAGTTACAGAATTGGTGGGGGAGTTCTTACAACCCATTTGTCAGTGTTGATGACTTGCTATTATGGCTGACATACTTCAGGCATATTCTTTGCTCACTAGTATTTTTTCATTTAATGGACTATCCATCCATTAAATGATGGATAGTCAGGTGAAGAGATGCCTAGGTCAGGTATTGGGAGGATGTAGACCCATGCTGTCTCCAGGCTCACCACCTTTCTAGCCCCAGGCGTGTTCACTAACCCCGAAGTTCTCTGAGCTTTAGGGTTTTTATGATTTGATCAGTCATGATGGATGATATCATTGACTCTTTGTGAGTAACTTAATCTTAGCTCATCTTTTCTCCTTAGATGTTGAGGAGTCGTGCTGAAGTCTAAGCCCTCTGATCAGGCCTTCATGTTTTTAGCTATGAGCTTCCATCCTAAGTCTATCTTGGATCCCACCATGAGTTTTATGTTCATTAGAAGGCAAAATGCTCCTGTCCCCTGAGAAATTCCAAGGGATTTAGGAGCTGTGTGCCATGAACAGGGACAGATATGGAATATATATTTATCACAATAGCACTGTTGTTTTTCGTCTCCACTGTATCTTTAACATCCGTTACATTGCATGGGCCATAATAAGGGTGCATTTAGTATTTGTTGAATGAATGCAGTTGGCTTCAAGACTTACTCTCTCATTGTTTTTTTTTTTTTTTTTTTTTTTTTTTTTTTTTGGGTTTTTCTCCGGTACCAGGAATCGAACTCATGACCTTGCGCTTGCCAGGCAGGCGCTGTGCCACTGAGCTAAATCCCCAGCCCCACTGAGCTAAATCCCCAGCCCCACTCTCTCATTGTTAAATGCCAGAAGATAGTAAAGTAATATTGGTGGAGATTTAAAGAAGAAAGGTTCTGATTCTTTATTAGTTCTGAAAGGTACTGAATCTTTATTAGTTGCCATTATATGTGAAGGTGATACATTCTGAGAAATGTAAGGGGACAGAATATATTACCCAGGTACCTTTATGAAGTGATTATGTGAAGTACTATTTCAGCCAATCAAGTGATGGATTAAAAAATTTTAAGAATGCAGAAGACACAGTAGAAGAGTAATTGTGTTGACCATTATAACCTGTTTATATAATAGTAAATAGCTGCCATGCTATTATAAAATGTATCAGCTAATGCTTGGTAAAGGTTCTACAGTACACAGTTACCATAAACTGTGTTACACAAATATATTAAATTTATATTGATAGCTTTCCTAATATTAGACTCTTCTTGCATTTCAAAAATGATACAGAAATACGTATTTTCAACTGTAAAGGATTGTAAACATTACGTACTGCAAAGATGTACTAATAAAAATCAGAAAGAAAAAAAATAGAACAGAGATCCTTGAACTGGGGTTCAGTGAACCATAGGATGCATGGATAGACTTCAGAGACTATGAACACTTTGAAATTCTGTGTAAAATTATGTATTTTTCCCTTGGAAAAAGATTCTTAAATGGATCTCTCTCTGTAACATAATAAAAGCAAGGAAACTTCAGATATGCAAAACCTTGAGCCAGCTAAGTACAAAGCAAGTACAAGTAAATCAGTTGCATTAATTAGAAATCTAAATGGAAAAACATTCCTATTAAAAGAAAAGAGACTTAAATTGAGTTAATAAATGAAATTCAACTAGCTAATACTTGCTGGAAACTTCTCAGAACAGCAGCGTGAAAAATTTGAAAGTAAACTGAATGGCAGGTGTGTATATCACCCCATCACAAAAAAGGGGAGTAAGAGGTCTTCTGATACAAAATATAAATACAGAAGAAAAAGAGTATAAAACAAGACAGCAAAGATTATTTTATACAATCTAAGATAATACATGTGCCAAACAATAGAATAAAAATAGAAAAATTATTATCTTTGAAATAATAGGATAAATTGATAGAAACACAGTGTTAATATACCTCTCAATCCTTGGGAAAGTACATAGAGAAGATTAACTCAATCTAACTAGATGCTAAATATAACTCCTACCAAATGAATATATGATGGAAATGGACAACATACAGGGAAATATGAATAATTAAATTGATTTAAATAATAAAAAAACTGAAATTGAATATGCAATCTTCTTGAGTAAAGATGCTCAGTGCTGATGATATCATAGATTAGTTCTCTCAACTTCCAAGAAATTTCCCTATTCTTTATTTTCCAGAGCATAGAAAAAAAGGAAAGTTTAGAAGCTAGCATGATGCTGCAAAACTTGGTAAGAATAACCTGAAACAACCTATAGATCAATATCACTCCTCAGAATAATTATCAGAATTCTAAAATGCAAGCAAACTTGAGAATTAACAACTTTGTTTAGCAGTGTTTTTCATGTATAAGATGCTATCCATGGGGCAAGTAAAGATTATTTTTAGGAAAGTAAGTTCACCATATTATTTGGACTCCAATAAAATTTATTACCAATAGGTCAAAAAGAGAAAAAGATTATTGCCTTCAAGAGGTTTCATAAAAATGCATGTCAATTCCAGATAGAGCTTATTAAGGAAATCAAAAATTTTTTAAATTTGTTTTTCAGAAATGTTTTTTGAACAATCTGAGTATTATGTAATATAAAAAAAAGCAATGAAATATTAAGAGGATGCCTCGTAATTATTTTAATTTAATGTCATTTTTAAAGTTATAGCTAAATCTGTAAGATAGAAGAAAGGTTTCAGTCATTAAAAGAGTGAGATATGTCAATATCTATGGAGAATATTATACTATTGCATACAAAATTCAGGTGAATAAATTGTAAAACAGGGCTTAGACAAAATAAAACACTAGTTACAAGAAAAATGAATAAAATTAGGTGGTTTTTCTATATGTGTGTGTATATACCCATGCATCTATATATGTGCCGTCTGTTGCAACAGGAAAAAGAAAAATGACTGTATAGCTGTGTTTTTAACAAAAACCCCCTAGAAAGCAGACTACAATTACGGCAGTAAAAGCAACAACAAAAATAAACCCCTTGGAATATACTTTACAAATCCTTATAGAAACATTCACTCATTCCTTCTAATGGTTAATGTGGATGTAGTATTATTTGTGTAATTAGTGTCTTATGATAGATATTTGTTTCCTTTGTTTCTGTTTTTTGAGACGCTCTTGCTGCATATCCCAGGCTGCCCTTGAAGTCAGTCAGGCTTTAAACTCACAATCTCCTGCTTCAGCGCCCCAAGTGCTGGGATTGTAGACACACATCACCATGCCTTGCTATATTTTGTTTTTATTATAAACAAGTCAAGGTCTTTGAAAATAAAAAATAAGAATTTTGATTTGTATTGCCCAGTTTTACTTGTATGATTAAGCTATAGTAATTACTATTATTGGTAATGGTATAAGAATGCCATTGGATTTTTAGAATAGAAAAGATCTCAGGCCCTTTAAGATAAACATTTTGTATCTGGATTAGAAATCTAAAGGAAAATAGCATATAAAGGAAAATGTTTGACAAATTTGGCTTGAAATTAAAAGCATATTTTGTCTCTGAGGCCGACCTATGTTTTCCCCATCCTTGTCTATGCAGTCATTTTTCCTGTTTGCAGTCAATTTTTCTGCAGTTGTTTAATTTTTCCTCTGTGAGTTCGTCTCCCCTCTTTCTCCAAATGTCAGTTTTCTGCATTTACCCATGAGTTTCTGCTGTTACTGCATAGGCATACGTAGATCCTGGTTGCCATGGGGATACTTATGCTTTTTTATTTTTTTGCTATTTTCAAAAGAATGAGGCAGTTTGGTACCTGTATTAATTACTGAGCTGCTGTTACAGAGACCCACATACTCAAACAACAGTAGTCATAAACATTTTTATAACACATACTCTTCGCCTGACAGCTTATATATACATATCTATGTGTGTGTGTATAGTGGGGGGGGCATCTCCATTGTATGGATGAGGATACTAAGGCACAGATCTTAGGTGACTTCCTGTAGCTGCAAGTTGGAGAACTGGACTTTGAATTCAAGAATTCTGTCTCCAGAGTCCTTTTGCCCTGCCTTTAAGAGAGAAGTTGCCCATTTACCCCTGCCTCACCCCTCATCCCCTCATATCTAGTCAGAACATAGTAAGTCATCCCTGGGTAGTAGATTTCAGTTGTACTAGGTCATCAAAGAAGGTTTTCATTGTTTCTCATGATAAAATTATGTGCACATTGAAATGGGAATGAAAAAAGAGACAATTTTCTTTTTAAAGAATGTGACTTAGAATTTGCATTTCTTACATTGCATCATGTACCATTAGCCAGTAGTGTTATTGGTATGTATGGTTCTGACTACTGCCAGGGAAACTAGAATCCCTGTAACTAAAATGTGGGGCTTCCATTCCAAAAAGCAAAGAAGGAAGAACATACAGTAGGACAACAGTCAGTAATCTTTGCTCTACATCACATTGGAAAGGAAGTCGAAGAGTTTGGGAGACTATCTTTAAAGAAGTATTTTCCACATGTTTAGAAACCTGTGCCTTACTGGGAAGTCTCCCAGTATTCTTGTGCTCTTGTTCCTTTGTCTCCCCTACATCCATAGCCCATGTCCTTTTTCATTCTCTCCCTGAGTTTTTCTTTAATGTGTATCCTTTCCCATCAGTGCTTTATTTTCCTTCCTCTTGATGGGCCCTGCTTGCTCCATTTACCCACTTGATCATACCCACCAGAGTGCTCTTCTGAAAATGCAAGTCCTTCTCATTCTGTCACTTCTTAGTTATTTTCCTCTTGGACTCTCAGTGCTTTCCTTCTATAGGTTAAGAATCTAAGCTACTTGGCCTACTATATTAATCATCTGTTCTCATTCTCACTTGCCGTTTAGTACTTTTCTAAGCATATTACGCATGCTAGCTTTACCTGTTTTTCAAAGACATTATCTCAACTCCTTATCTCAACATTTTTTTATCTCAACATTATTTCTTTTTAAAAAAGTATCTCACCCCCTTTCATGCATACATAAATACGTTGTAATTTCTTCAAGAAACTGCTTAAATATAATCTATGCAAAATGATGAACAACTTGTTCCTAGACAGTTTTCAGTTGGTTACTGCATCTCTGTTTCTCTCATAGCATTTTGAAGATTATGCCTTTCTTAGCATTTATCTTCCATATTAATCTTTTCTGCTTTTTACTCTGTGAGCTCCCTGAGAGCAGAGATTATATTAATATATCTTTAAAAAATTCCCAGTACACAACACAGTACATGACACAGTCATTGCAGTGAATGGGAGGGGAATTACAAAGCATGAAATGAGGCAGTGAAATTTAACATATATAGGAAACAAGATGTTTTATTCTGGTTGTTGGAACATAAGACTTCTTTTTTTTTTTTTGACAGCTGATGATGTTAGCAAAAGCCCACTTTTACAGTGCTTTTCAAATTTTAAAGCACTTCCATATATTATTTCATGGGTTTTTCAATAGCTGAAACAGCCATAAACATTTTTAATAAGAAATCTTTGCTTTTTTCTTGGTGATTGAAATACTTATATATTGTACAGTTTATATCGCCTTTTGGATGTGCATGTTGTAGAATTCCTACCTCTGACCTACTTATAGCACGTTTTGTATCACAGTGGATGACGTAGTAGATGAAAGTGATGACAACGATGATATTGATTTAGAAGCTGAAAATGAAATCGAAAATGAAGATGACCTAGATCGAAATTTTAAGGTTAGTGAATTTTTATCATTAGTCATTTTAATAAACTGTATACTTCATTTGGAAAAAAGAGATCTGGTAAATTGATATAATGGTATTTGATTTGTTTCTTTGTGGGTAATTATGGACACTAAGTGATTGAAGAGCCAATGTTGCCTTAATTTGTTGGTCTAAAAAAGGCCCTAAAGTAACTTTTTTCATTCCTTTGGAGCAGAAAGATTTTATTTAACTCTTCTGATTTAGAATTTGAAATCTAAGAAAATCTGAGGAGCCTAAGAAAGTGGTTTGAGGCTCTATTATGACAGCTTATTCCAAAATCCATTATCCTGTGTCTGCCATTCTTTGGGGATATAAAAATAGTGGGAAAATAGTCTATAACTCTTGTATGTTTATAAGAATTAGTGTTTATAGTGATTCTTCATACTGGATCATTTACATAATGATTTTTTAGTTAATTGGAAAAAATGGTGTATTGAGTTGAGAAAATACAAAGTTATTGTCATATTACATGAGATGTAGGTAAAAGACGCAAGCGATTTTTCAGAATTTAGGGTACTTCTGGGAGCTTAGAAACTTGGTTTTGTTTTAGTGTTAGAGGGAACCACGACATCATGTATAGAAAACGGCCTATGATTGGTTAATCATTTTGCTTATTGCTTGGTTTTGGGGGAGGAGGTATTAATGGGGGAGGTGACTTGCTGCTTGGATGTTTAAATTTTTTTTTTTTAATCTTAGATTACTGTATTATGGGGTCAGGGATATAACTCAGCAGCAGAGCACCTGCTTGGCAAATGCAAGGTCCTGAGTTTGATTCCTGGTGCAAACAAAACAAAACAACACAAAAAACTTGTTTGCTAGATTACTGTGTTATAATTGGCATACACTGAGGCTTCTAGATCTTAAGATGTTGTAAGATTTCTATCCTCATAGCAAGTATACAACCAATTTTTTTTTACTACCAAACTTGATCACCAAGGCATGCTGTGGCAAAATTATCAGATGAGCCTGTGTTCTGGCATTAAGAAGGGAAATAGTAAAGGCTGTGATGGACGGCTGCCTTTTTGGTTCTGAACCTGACAGAATGAAAAGGATGGAAGAATATTTAAAAGTGACTTTTTAAAAAAAATTATTTTAAAAATAGAAGGAAAACATATTAACAAACAGACGTGTTTACAAAATAGCATAAGAACAATACAAATAATACAGAGTTGCAGACGAAGTTGTAGGAAATGAACAATGTTTGTTGTATTACATATTGATATCTTCAAAGTGGTTTCTCAGGAAAACAAATAAAGACATGCAATATTCATCAAACAAGTAATTGTCAACTGTTCTTTTCACTAAAGCAATAGAAGACAGTAGTACAACTATGTTAGCTATCCTGTATATACATACATACATAATGTCCTCTTCTTTCCCTTCTCTTTTCCCACACCCCATTTGCCCTTTACTTTTGAGCATTTTCCTTCATTTCACAATGTCTATCATACCTCCTAGTTTTTATTCACTCTTTCAGGTTCTTACACTAGTGAGACAATACGTTGCTTACACATGCAGGTCTGATTTATTTCACTTCTGAGTATGGTTTCTAGTTGTGACCATATACCTATAAAGTCTCAAGTTTATCTTTCTTTATAGCTGAGAAATATTCCATTATATAAAAGTACCACAATTTTTTTATCCAGTCTTCAGTGGATGGACATTTGGGTTGCTTCCACAATTTAGCAATTACAAATTGCGCTGCTGTGAACATGGATGCACATATATCGCTGTGATATGATGTTTTCAGATCTTCTGGGAAAATACCCAGAAGGGGAATAGCTGGGTTGAGTGGGACCTCTAGACCTAGTTTGCAGGAATATCCAAACTGATTTCCACATGGTTTCACCAGTCTGCATTCCCACCAGCAGTGGAGAAGAGTTCCTATTTCTGTACAGCCTCACCAGCATTTGTCATTGGTTGATTTCTTAATGCTAGCCATTCTTACTGGGGTGAGATGAAATCTTTCAAAGAACCAACTCTTTGATTCATTTATTTTTTGTAGGGTTTTCTTCATTTCAGTTGCATTAATTTCTGCCCGGATCTTTATAATCTCCTCCCTTCTTTGGGCTTTGAGCTTGATTTGTTTGTCTTTTTCTAAAAGTTTGAGGTACAGCATTAGGCTACTTATTTGTTCTCTTTCTGTTTTCCTTATGTGTGAGTGCATCACTATAAATTTCCCTCTGAGGACTGCTTTCATTGCATCCCATAGATTCCAGTAAGTTGTATTTACATTTTCATTTGTTTGTAGGTATTTTTAAATTTCTTCTTTAATTTCTTCTGTGACCCATTGGTTGTTCAGGAGGTGGTTGTTTAATTTCCAAGTGATCATGGAGTTTTTGGAGTTCCTTTTGTCATTAATTTCCAATTTCATTGCAGTGTGGTCAAATAATACACATGGGATAATTTCAATTATTTTGCATTTCAGTAGGTATGCTCTATGGGCTAGAATGTAGTCTATTTTAAAGAAAGTCCCATGTGTGGCTGAGAAGAATGTGTATTCTGATGTTGTGGGGTCGAACACTCTCTATACATCTACTAAGTCTATTTGTTCACAGATTTGGTTCAGATCTGTTATTTCTTTGCTGATTTTTTTGTCTAGTTGACCTGTCTCTTTGTGTCAAAGGGGTGTTGAGGTCTCCTATTACAATAATGTTATTAATTATATGGGTTTTTATGTCTGTTAAGATTTGGCTTATATAGTTTGGTGCTCCAATGTTTGGTGCATACATGTTTATGATTGTTATCTCATCATCTTGCAGTTTTCCCCTAACAAGTACTTAGTGACCTTTTTTATCTGTTTTGATTGTTGTCAGTTTGAAGTTTACATTGTCTGCAAACATAATAGCTACCCCTGCTTTTTTCTGGGTTCCTGTTGCATGGAGGATTGTTTTCCATCCTTTGACTTCAAGTCTATGGATTTCCTTTCGTGCAAAATGTGTTTCCTGTATACAGCGTATCGTTGGATTTTGTTTCTTACTCCACTTTGTCAGTCTGTTTCTTCTGATGGGTGAATTGAGGCTATTTACATTTATAGTTATAACCGATATGTGTTGACTTATCATTGTCATGTTATTTACTTGTGCTGGTGTCAGCCTTTTTCTACCTGTTTAATTGCTTACTCTGCTTGAGGGTTCCTTTCTGTTGTTGTTTTTGAAATTGCGGTGGTTTTTTTCTCTGTCTGGAATATCTTTTAGTACTCTTTGCAACGATGGTTTGGCACTCATGAAGTTTTTCAGTTGTTCTGTGTCATGAAAATATTTTATTTCTCCCCTTGAGTTTGAAGGATAGTTTGGGAGTATACATCAGTCTTGGTTGGAAACTGTTCTGTCTCAGGACCTGTAACACTTCACTCTAAGCTCTTCTTGATTGGATGGTTTGTGTTGAGAAGTGTGCTGTGATTCTGATGGGCTTTCCTTTATAGGTAATCTATTTCTTTTCTCTAGCAGCTTTTAATATTCTATTCTTTTGCTGGAGATCTGGGAACTTGACTATTATATGTCTGGGTGTAGTTTTATTTTGGCTATGGCTAGTTGGAGTTCTATATGCCTCATTTATCCTGTATATCAGTTTCTGTTTCTATGCTTGGGAAATTTTCTGCTATTATTTCTGCAAATATTCTTCTTATGTCTTTTGTGTTGCCTCTTGCTGTTTCATTGAATCCTGTTAGTTGTACGTGATTCCTCTTTGCCTCATCTTGCAGCTGTTGAATTGAGTTTTCCTGGTTCCTTGTTGATTTTAAGAGATCCTTTCTTTCACAATTGTTAGCTGCTATGCTGTCTTCAAAATCTGAAATTCTATCTTTGGCTTCATTCATGCGGTTTTGGCAGCTTTCAATGGAAACTCTAATTTCCTGGATGTCTCTTTGAATCTGGTTTATTCCTGTAGTTTTCATTTAATGTTTCCATTCATTGCCTATGTTCATCTATTTTTTTATATGTTTCTTCTTTAGATGTGCTGAGCAGTTCCTTCATTATTATTGTGATTTCATTTTTTGCCTGAGAGATTATTTCTGATCTGATGTCTTCTATGGCCTGATTGAGTTGTTTCTTTACTTCCATTGCAATCATTTCAGCAATTTCAGGTGTGTGTTTACCAAGTTCTCCTATGTCGATGTCTCCTGGACTTGTTCTGAGTGGGGTGGAGTTCTGAGATTGTGTTTTAATCTTTTGTCTTGTTATGTTTGATACCGGATGCAGAGAACGCTCAGTTTTCCTCTTCCCTGGCAGCTCAGCAAAAGTTGCTAGTGTCCCTAGTTTTCCTGGTGGTCAGGCTTGCCCCTCAGTGTCCGCTGAGATGGACTGCTTAGTCTGGGGTTTTGCGGCAGATGGTGAAGTGTATGTAGTTCTCCTAGGTCCCAGACATAAACCATAGTGTCAGCTGAGGGCAGACCGTCTGATTCAGCATCCCCTCACAGCTCAGGGCACATGTATGACCCAGAATAGGGTTGCACTGGTGGCACAATCTTGTACTAGTGGTTTTGTGTCCCCAGGCAGTTCAGGGTACAGGCAAAACACAGACATGAACTGCAGGGCCAATGGTTTGTGGACCACCTGATTATATGTCTCCAGGCAGCTCAGGATGCTCACAGGAGCTAGACGTGGGCTGCACTGATGATCATGGACCGCCTGTGTCTGTGACCTTCAGGAAGTCAGCGTGCAAATAAAGCCCAGACCTGAATTGGGGTGCCAACAGTTGGTGAAGCACCTGCTGTAGTACTTCACTCGGCACAGGTCACACGCAGGGAGGGCCCACACGCGAACCCCAGTGATAGCAGTTTGCAGGCCTTCTGAGTGAGGATCTCCTGTCTGCATTGGGCGCACAGAGGGCGGAGACTCTAAAAGTGACTCTTTAGATTCTTGGAAAGTGAATATTGGGGTATAGTAAAATTTCCCGGGTTAATACTGAATTTTACAGATTAAGCTCTTTAAAATACTGTATTTTGATAAACCTTTCTTATTCAGTGTCTATTAAAAACAAAGTATATTCAGTACAATTTATTTTTCATGTTCCGTTTTCATTAAAAATATCTGTTTTGGGGATGCTTTGGAGATGTGAAGACAGAGTGGGAAAATAGCACTCAGTAGAAATTATAACAATGACCAATTTTGTTCCTAGAAAATTTTGAGCATGTATGCATGAATACACACTTTAAAAACATCTTCAACCATTTGCAAGTTACACTTACCATGTGGCATGATCCTTTACCCATAAATACAGCAGTATACCTCATTACAGATATCACCTTATAAGTTCATTGTGGTAAGGCTTTTATCTAGTCTGCCATCTACATTTCATTTTGTCAATTGGTCTTACCATTTTTTGGGTAAGACTTTCTTTATAGGCAAGTGTTTTTTTTAGACAGTCGTGTAAAGCTGTATTTTTGCAAAATAATATTAAACATTAATAAGTATGATTAGGGAAAAATAATTTTTGTAAATTATTTTGGAAGCATTGTCTATTAGATGCTAATCAAGAAAATTATTATAAGTACTGGTTCATAAGTCTGTAACGTAAAAATAGCTAAAATTATAGTTTATTTAATAATTACACAGTGGTATATGATCGTTAAATGAAGTCAGTCTTTTTCATGGTGATAAAAAAAATCATGTTTATTGGTTAAATAACAGCTAAATTCATGAATATGAAAAAAGAAATTAATAGTATATGTTTCTAGGTTAAATTACTAGTTAATATATAGCCAAGTACAGGTATATAAGGATTGAAGAATAGTAAAGTAAATTTGTTTCAAGGCTAAAAATTAGTACATGTATAGTAAGATAGAACATTAAAATGAGTACCAATTAAAAATTAATAGTTGGTCTTATTATCTCTCTTTAGTCCTCTGTGAGGGTCATGGTGAGTTTGTGTTGGTGTGAGCTGAATTGTTGAGAATCCTAGAAATTAGCTTGGATGCTATGTAAACTGACTCCTGCCATCTTTCCCAGCATACAGTGGTCCTTCTCTGATCCACACACATGAGATTAATCCTGGATACACAATCTTGTTTCTCTAAAGACACGCTTTTAAATTTACCCTCTGCTTTCATAAAGGGGTATGAAAATTGCATCTGGCAGTTGTACCACTTCTTACTTTTTTCTTGTGAAAAGCAGAGTAAATGATACCACTGAGCTTTTCTAAGGGACCTTTTTCTATCATGGTATGTAAGCATGTGATAATCCTCAGTCTTTGGTGAGGCAGTGGCATTGTACTGGCCAATGCTGTGTACCTTGGCATCGCTCAACTTTTGAATCCTGGCTCCTCCCTTTGCGAGGTGTAAAGTTTTAGCAAGCTCCTTAACCTATATATTATTTCTTTCAGTCAAGTGAAGGTAGTGATATATCTACTTTAGCTTTCTTATGCAAATTAAATTGTATATGTAAAATAATTACCATAGCGCTTCATATATATTTTAGTGCTCACTGTTAGCTGTTTTGGTTATTGCCACCATTGTTATATATGTTTTTTAATTAAGCTTTCTTAAGTTTTATTGCTTTGTAAAATGTGTGACATGATAGCATATGTTAATCTTGATCTTTGCAAAGTTTTTTGTCATAAAGAACCAAACACTTTGTTACATTAGAATAACCATGAAAAACGAAAAGCCAGATAATATCAACAATCTAAAAATAAGAAACAAATCTGAATTTATATAAAATTGATAGAATTTTTATTTAATGATTACTTTTTAAAAACTGGTGACAGGGGCTGGGGATTTAGCTCAGCGGCAAAGCGCCTGCCTGGCAAGCGCAAGGTCGTGAGTTCGGTTCCTGGTACCGGAGAAAAACAAAAAAACAAAAACAAAAAAACAAAAAAAAATAAAAACTGGTGACATGCTATTTTTATTATTTCAGAACGATGATATTGAAACAGATATTAACAAATTAAAACCACAGCAAATACCAGGACGAACAATGGATGAACTAAAAATGTATGAACACCTCTTCCCTGAGCTTGTTGATGATTTTCAGGTAAATGCTAATAAAAAGTTCTTTTTTTTCCTTTAGGCTAGAATGAAGCTAGAGTTGCTTTTCTGAGGGACAAAGGATAATTATGTCAACATTCTGAGCTGCAAATTGCTTATCTGTAAAATGAATGGAGGTGGACTAGTTTTTCATTTTTTGTCACCTTGATCTATAAGTTTTAATTGATACAGTTTTTATTTTGTCTCATATTCTTTAAAGTTTCATTGTAAACTCTTGTTCTTTGTGACTGTTTTCAGTTTTGTTCACTTAGGAGGTACAGTAAGTGAGTGTGGAGTTGGAAATACAGTCTGTGTTGAGTTTTTCCCGATACCTCACTGTGTGTGTAGGGGGCAGCACTGAGATGTCTTTAAATTGATCCAGTGGGACAGTGAAGTGTTATTAACACTTCTTACTCTCATTTTTTGACAAAATATAATTACTTAGTTTGGTTTACGTGGTAGGTAAAGTTGAATTGTTGGCAATGAGTAGATCTAGTTTCTTACTGTCACTTTTTATCTGACTTGAGTAAGTCTCTGACACTGCCAGGGTCTTAAAACTGTATGCTTGGACTAGATAATCTTTTAAGATTTTATTAACCCTTGCTAACCCCATTGCTCCCTAGAGTCTGTACACTTAATTCCTTGTACCTGAAAGAAAAAGACTTTAATTTGAGGTTGTATGTGGGAAATACAAAAAGAAATATTTGCCAGCTGGGATTTACCTTTCACAGTTCTGACATTTTAGTTATTCAGGTTTCTCTTTGGGAGTGAATTTAGCTTTTTGAGTATAGTGAAGGATGAAGCACTCTTTGCTCTGCCCCTCCTGCCTCCGTGCCTTGCCTCTGTACATTTGAAGTGCGTTGGGAAGCACTTTAAAATTAGAAGTGATGGAAGGGCAGGAGTAGAGAAGGCAGCTGTTACAAAATAAAAAAAAAGGCAAACAAAGAATAAGAAGGCAGCAGGAAGAGGTGTTTAGGAAGGGTATGGAATGATTTTCTGCTTTTGTCCTACAATAATTTTCAGGTAGCCAGGCATGGTGGTCCTCACCTGTAACCCTAGCACTCGGGAGGCCTAGGATCGTTGTGAGTTTAAGACTGGCCTGGGCTACAAAGTGAGCTCAAGCCCAGCCTGAACTGCATAGTGAGACCCTATCTTTAAAAAAAAAATTTTTTTTTCCATCTTACTGTTCTTTTTAATGCATTTTATGGTCAACTAAGAACCATTTCAGGATGAAATCCCAGACATAGCAAATACTTCTAACTCAAGGCAGAAAAATATTGTTGAAGGTATTTTGGGTGTTTGTGTGAAGAATGTACCTACTTTTTTCTCTTCTTGTGTACATATAATGTGATCACAAGTTACAGTTTTGATAGGGGAATAGAGTAGGTAATTTTATAATGAATGTCAAGGCCAGGAGTTTGATTCTCACTCTTTGATTCTTTTGCAACATGTGTCTTTCTTTCTTTTAGATTGTAAAGTAATCTCTCTGGATTTCCTTATATCTAGTCCATAGTTTATCACCTAGAACAGGCTAAACTTGATGGTTTCTTACCCAGTACCTGTGAGCAGTCTCCCAACTTGTCCTTTTCTTTGGCTCCTCCTGGAGCAGGTCCCTACTTTTGTTCTAAGCATGGCTGGGATAAGATTGTAATTACAGTCCTGTTTGAATGTAAGGGTGATGGAGAATCTTCTTACTGTTATTCCTTTTTATTGGATGTAGCCCTGGTAGCATCACTGCAAATTTTTAGAAAAGTCATATTATAGGGGTGTGTAATGCCCATCTTTATTTTTTAGGTGCATTTCTATTGATGAATTATTAATTTTATGAGTTTTATGTACTAAACAATATGAATTTAATAGGAAAATAAGTATCAATAAAATAAATTTTTAATGTGTAATGAGTGTGTAGAATAAACATCAACGTTTTCAGCATGAACTGTTTACCTGCTTATGAGAACTAAAAAAAAACGGCAGAAATAAATTCCTATGTGAACTACAATGAAAATATACAGCTGTACCACAGAAATAATCTTTTTTTCGATTAACATGCTTAAGGCAGCCTTCACACATACCACCAATAGCATGTTTCATACACAAGTATCACTCACACTACAGCTTGTGTGCTTAGCTTTTCTTTCCTGTGTGGCAGGCCATACTTGTCACCTCTCTTGTCTTCTTTTGTGAGGAGCTTCCTCTTATATTATACAATGTCCACTTAGTGGAAAGTGAAGTATCAATAAAATTTCAAATGTACCTAGTGTTTAGAATAACCATCAACATTTTCTGCATCATCTGTTTGTTTATTAAATCTAAAAAATAATAGCAGAAATAAATTCCTATGTGTACTACACTGAAAATACAAATGAAATGCTCCCACAAAATATTTTTGAATTATCACACCTAAGGCAGTTTTCACACATGAGAATAGCATGTTCCATACACAAGTATCACTTACACTGATAGCACACATATTTTGTTTTCCTGTCTTTGTAGGACATACTTGACATCTTGCTGGTCTTCCTCTTTTCTTAGGAGGTTCTTATGATATTTCACCTGTCTGTTCACCAGTCTGCTCCAGAATTCTTTTGTGTGGTGTTTTGTTTTGTTTTGAGACAAGGTCTCATAGTGCAGGCTGGCCTTGAACTCACTTGTGTAGCCCAAGCTGGCCTCAGAGTCACAGTGATCCTCTTGCCTTAGCTTCTAGGGTGCTGGGATTACAGGCATGTGCCACCATGCCTGGCTCTAAAATTGTTTTGAGTTTTTTGAGAAGATACATATTGTTCTTCCTCTGTTGTAATTGATCATTTATCAATTCTAGTCCCAATCCTCTAAGAAAATTTCACTGATATTTTGTGCTTGTTATTTTCTTTGTAAACTATGAAACTATTTATGCCTCACATATTTAGGTTTGAGTAAAACACAACCATTGGCCAACACTTTGTGTTTTGAGTGACATCATAGTTGTTGCATAATTCATCAACAACATTTATTCCACTTTTCATTTTGTTGGCTTCATTTCTGGCTTCATTTGTGTTGAGGATTCACTATCAATCTTTGTTTGTTTGTTTTGAGGCAGGATCTTGACATATAGTCCAGGCTATCCTTGAACTCACTATGTAGCACAGGCTGACCTTGAATTCACAGAATTCTCCTGTCTCCGCCTCCTGAGTATTGAGCACAGGCATGCACTACCACACTCGGCCTCACTATCAATCTTATCATCATGGTGTAATGTTGACAGTATCAATATTACATTGTTTTTCTTCACCATAATGTAGTTCTGGCTAGCCTTGAACTCACTGTGTAGCATAGGCTGACTTTGAACTCAAAGGATCCTCCTGCCTCAGCCTGTATCCCCAGTGCTGGGATTACAGGCATATGCTACCACACCGGCTTCACTGCCAATCTTACCTCATGGTCTAGTGCTGGCATAATGTAGGGTTGGTATTCCGTCCAGTAGTACTTTGTTTTTCTTCACCATATAGGAGGCCAGTGTTCATCTTTCTGAAATCCAAAGATTGTACTGTACATTTCTCTATTTGAATGTGCAGCATTTTTTCAGGAATTTTGACTTTGTTCTTATGAGTAGTTCCTATGCTGGTCAGCTGGTGTTCTTTCAGCAAATATAGCATCAATAGGTAACTAGTGAACCAATTGTCAAAGGTGACATTTAGGTTACTTTTTGAATAAGTGCAATAAGTCTGTTCAGAGTCATACCGTTTATTACTACACAAAGAAAGACCTGGTGGCTGAGTTCCAGGATAAATTTCTAAGGTCAAGATATAAAATATCTTTGCATCTACCAGGGCATATATTTTTTATACCATATTTGGAAGGTTTACTTGGCATATATGGCAGAAAGCTTCAACAACAATTGTCATGTGTGCAGATGGTGTATAAATTGCTTAACAGTTTGAAACAAAGCTTTCAATAAATGAGTAAATAGCAGCCAGATTGTTGAGTTTTTCCTTTCTTGGCAGGTCTTTTTCTCTCTCTCTTTTTTTTTTGTCGTTTTTGTTTTTTTGATGGCATTTACTGTGTGGATTTTTGTTATATTTTGTATTTTTTTCATATTTTAAATTTGGTTTTAAATTTTTACCAAAGTTTTCATGGATGGAGTGTAAAGTCATTCTGTACAGGTGGTCCTCTTGATGTGTGCTGCTTCTTGCAGCTGCTTTCAGCATCTTTGTAAGTCAGTAGTCCCACCTGCGTATAATAGGGTGTCATGCCTTGATGTGCCATATCTTGATGTTTTTCTACTTTCTTTTTTTTTACATTACCATTTAGCATAGATATCCAGTAACTCAACATGTCATTTTTTCTCACATACATATTTATGTATGTATGTCTTCTGTTAATTTGCTGTAATTACTGTTTTATAAGCCTCTCAAACTGTAAGATGTAATTTTGAGTTTAGTATTTTTATCATCTTTGTTTTGAAACTTAATTTCCACTTTTTCTTGACTCATGGGTAAATTGTTTTTAAATTCCAATTTTTAAATCTTTTTTTTACTGATTTCTAGGATATTGTAGTAGGATAAAAGGATATATTCTTTATGATTATCATCTTTTTGAAATCTTTGATGCCATATTATGGCTTTGAATATGGTCAAATTTGTTAGTGTTTCTTATGTGGTTAAAAAGAATTGTTTTGCATTTGTGACACACAATTGCATCTTTACCCATTAGGACAAAATGGTTACTTGTGTTGCGTTCTTTCCTATCCTTATGGATTTTTATTTTTCTTCAATTAATTACTGTGAAAAGGATGTTAACAATTTCTTCCTGATAAGAATGTATGTTTCTTTGCAGGCCTGTCAGTTTTTATTGCATTTATTCCCCGGCCATTTAAAAATTAGTGTATGTTTGTGATGTGACATTCATCTTGGGAACTAGTGCTTACACATGTTGAACGTTAATCACTTTTGCTTACTCTTCCCCTCTCTGCCCTCCTGTCTCTCTCCATCCCCAAAGCCCCCTTCTGTCTCCACAAAGTTTGCCTTCCTG